TACTTATCATTATATCATTATATAAAATTATGTAATGCTTGCGCATACTTGATTACTTGATTCTAGCAAATCTTGACGTTAATAATGGACCCAATAACTGGACTTCCAAGTTCTCGTCGCTCAACTTTATCGGGAGGCGACGTGCACCATGAAGGTCTTACCACTGAAACTCATGACTGGACGTTGGTTAAAGCCATTGACCTTGTAATTGATCAAAAGGTTATCGTAATGTAAGCGTTGTGGTTTTATAAGCGTGGATATTGTGCCTTCACCTCAAATATTAACAAGGCAACTTATATATGTTTTTTTTTTTTTTAGTGACGGAGAGATACCAATTGAAGAAGCTTGTGACGTGAGCATATCAAATTATTTACAGTTAGTTTGGAAAATTTTCTTCTATCTCTCAAAGTTTGTCTTTTGTCACAGATTCTTACGCGAAACAATATATCTTCCGCACCAGTCTACGATACTTCAACGAATAGCTATTCTGGCATGTTCGATTGGGCTGACGTTATGACATATCTGTTAATTATCCTTAAGAAAAAAGATGTTATGAAACAACAAGAGAAAAGTGATGCTGAATTATCTGCTGAATTTAATGATGATTTAGTGAAATTGGCAAGTCATTGTCAACCTGTTCCTGTTAAATTAGCCTCAGGCAAGATTATGATAAAATAATTAGATATTTATAAATTCTATTTATCAGCTTGTTGTGTTGCTGATATCGATATAAATTAATTCCATTTGTAGACCTTTCCAAGAAAAATCCCTTTTATAGTGTACTTCCAGAGACGTCGTTGTTACAAGTTGTTGAATTGTTTGGAAGTGGAACTCATAGAGGTTAGCACGTAAAATATTTTAATCTACTTAAATACTTTTTACAACCTCATTAATCAAAAAAAAAATCGAAAATTATACAGTTGCTGTTGTAGACGCGGACGGAATTCTCAAAGGAATTTTAACTCAGTCAAGATTTGCTAGAATCAAGTAATCAAGTATGCGCAAGCATTACATAATTTTATATAATGATATAATGATAAGTA